GTTTTACCACTCCCCCAGAGTTAAACAGTTGAGTTTTACCGTTTTCGAATGTATTCAGCCGATTTTTTTATATTTAGAAGAATATCAGTAACCAGACAGTTTCTCATTGACTTCCATAGTATATTTTTTTCCTACTATGGAAGTCAATGAGACCAGAAACTGTCTGGTTACTGATATTCTTCTAAATATCAGAAAATTCGCTGAATGGATTTGAAAACGGTAAAACTCAACTGTTTAACTCTGGGGGAGTGGTAAAATGAGCCTATTTCCAAAAAAAGTGGAGTATCCCTTTAATGGTTCTAATGTTGGAGCACATGGTTAATACCTGACTAGTGCACCTGTGACGATCTGGACAGCGTTTCCCGAAAGCATCGTTAGCCAACTATGGTTGTAAGTTCTGTCGTTACCAATAGAGTTCAATGGAAATTGCGACCAACTTGCGAGCATAGTTGGCTAACGATGCTTTCGGGAAACGTACCCCAGGATGGATGAATTTAGTCCACAATGGTAATTTGTGGGTTAGCGTTTGCTGCGAGGGGGCTGATACTGTGGCTCTGCTCTGGAGGTCTTTTTGGATGAGTTTTGCAGCTGTCGGCCAGCAGGACTGGAAACCTCCATTCCAGTGAGAAGAGAGAGAATGATATTCAAGGAGCTGTGCTTTTCCCTCCCTGCAGATCAGTGCCATGCATTATTCATGCTTTATCTTCCAGGCTTAGACCTGCGCCTTGGGCCTTTAGACCAGTATGATCCCTCCATGAAGTACAGCAAGAAAGTTTAGATCGTTTCTTCTGTCAGGTTTTGTGGGACCAATTCTAAAGCTCTAAATCAAACCAAATTTTTTTTTTTGACCCCTGCCTTCTAGCACTTGTGGGGCACGGCGGCGTGAAATTGTACAGGCTTTAATGTCTACAGAGACTTTTAGAGGCTATTACAGCTTTGAAAGCAAAAACCAAGCTGTTAGTGGCTTACTGTAAATAAACCGAGTTAGGGTCAGATGGGAGAACGGATGACACTATAAACATCAGTGTATGTTCCTCGCTTTCTCACATGACCTTAACCTGTCTTTTTTTCTCACTCTCTTCCATTGTGGCACAGGATAATAGAAGGACTGTGAAGGACTTTTATAGTCTCAGGCCCATATAATCACTTTCCCCGCCTGACACAAGAGGGCAGGTCTCATATGGGAAAACTGAGTTCTTAAAAAAAGAACCTGTTTAACTCTGATTCAGCATTTCAGTCCATTAGTCGCGACTCGCTAGTGTCATTATGTTTCTCACACCCACAGTTTAATTTGTTCTCCTAGTGATTAACTCTTGTTACAAAGCAGGAGCTACAAAACTGTTGCACTCTTTTTTTTTCTTTTTCTTTTTTTTTTTTTTTAGATGTATGAAAAGGGTGTAATTCATTTTGCATTTCTCAAATCAGCTACAAGTGCATTTGCCTACTCGAAAGAAATATATTTTATAATATTTAAATGCGATTTTTACCGGAACATAATTAGTGCTATTTGGCCATGATTTGGCAGGTTTTGAATAGCAATTGGCCTGGTTTAGTTATGCAAACCTAAAAAACATGATTGTACAGCATCTTAAAAAAATCAAAGAAGTTCAATTTAAAAAAAAAAAAGCATCTTGAGACCCTGTTTTCTTTTTAATTATATTTTGCTGCATTTCAAAACAGAAGAATGCAATAGAATTTAAAAGCATCAGACGTATTGCTGAGGAAAAGTAAATAGGGTTTCTCACTTTTGAGAGGCACACAGCTTCAGTAATGTAGCAATAGCAGTATAGATAATAGCATAGAAAACAGCAGAATAGAAATCTGCTGAACTGAGTATAAAAAATTACTTCAAAATAAATACATTCATGTTTTAAGCAAGCTTTTCTGCCAAAAATGTGGTCCATTGTCGATTTGTAATAATGAAGCACAAGTCACTTTCAAACCAAGTAACTTTGTGTTAGTGAACACGGCAAATTCGCATAACCATCTTGAACATCACCAACATCTCCAAGGGGAAATCTTTTACTCTCACAAGAAACTACAAACTACACATCATGCAGATTCCTATTGAAATGATTGGATTTCACCTGTGAAAATCCCACAACAGACTACAAAATAGGTTATTACAAAGACCTCAGTGTTTTTTTCTTTCCAATAACTTTTCTGCTATACCCCTTAAATCTCCAAGCAAATCATTAAAAGGTCGCAGTAAACTGCCTTTTACAGCTGTAAACTTGATCAACAATTACCCCAATAAAGTCACTGACGGCAGATCCCCATATCTGCTCAATGAGATATAGCATTGTAAAACAGGGGAAAACAGGTTACTTGCACTTAGACTAATCATACATCACATCCTGAATGGATAACACTGCATTCCGTAGCTCAGATGGTTCATTTGGAGATCTGAACAGGCCCGTAGATGCAGAGTAAGCATTTTACAAGCATTGCACACATTAACCTTAGGCTGTAATTTACATTAAATCTCCTCAACCTTCAGTTGTCACAAGACCTTGTTAAGTCCACTGCTGAGTCTGAGTGTCCTCATAAACATTTGAAGGGTTGGGGGTACGGGCCCCGGCCGCTCACTTTTAAAGCCCACTAAGCTCAAGTCCTCTATCATTTATTAATGAGCTGTTAGGAAACCTTGAATTTTTAAAGCAGTGAGGGATGGAGATTAAAATTTAGCCCAAACCGGTTGTCGACAAGCCCATCCGGCTTTTGCCGACTCTCTCTCTCTCTCTCTCTCTCTCTCTCTCTCTCTTTCTCGTCCACTGTCTCTCTCGCAGATGTAATTACTCCTAATGTAAATGCTTAATTTATTAAAGGAACATGCTTTGAGCTACTTTGCTGTATAAAATGCTCAACTGTGTGTGAGACTGTGTTTACTGAACATTACATTTAGGCTGTTCCCTCTCGCTCCTAATCACTTTGATGGTGACCATATGGCTACACCTATAAGTGTGTTGTGTGTGTGTCAGTAATGCAGATAGACTGGGCTTCTACTGCCATTTCAAAAAGGACACAGCTTCCTTTTACAACTGCCTATTTCCTATACAAAACTGACTATGCCGCGCTAATAAACACCAGATGTTAAAATTCAGCTGAATTTATACATTTTTAATTAATTTGTACATTATTTCAAGTATAAAAAACAATATGCAGCATATTACAAAGACATGTTGTTTCCAAATTTAAATAAATGGCTTTAATTCCTCTGTTCCAAGGCCAAAACAAATTAATCTATGAAAAATGTAATCTAGAGATAATTTATTTAAAAGCAAAGTATTAATAATAATTGTAAAATGCTTTAAAATATTGTTAAACATTTAATAAATAAAAATGTAATTAAATATAAATTATAAAGTGTTTTTTAAAGAAATACTTTTTTCTCTTTGATTTATTTAAAAACCCATGCTTTATATTATATTGAGATCTTGTTATTTTATGGTCTACAGTTATTCTATAGTCTACAGTTATTATTTTGAGGTCATGGGAGCAGGTAAGCTGGATAATTTTTCACTGCTAAATCTTGCTTTTTAAAGGCCAGGGGCGAAATATGGATTTTGTCAGACACGAGAGGCACTCAAAACATGAGTGGCTATTGGGAAGATTACAGTCACTCCATATGCTATATAAGATTTATCCTCAGCACAATACTCTTTGAAATGAGATCTGGTTATCTGTTCACTGGTAAAATTGTTTTCTGCACCATCACAATCCTATACAGCCTTTGTTGTAGTTTTGGCAAGGAAGTGCAAGAATATTTCCACGAAGTTGTCTGTAGTTATCTGTTGTCTGTCATAAAACAAATTGATAAATAATAAGACAATGAAAGCAACTTAAATCTCAAGGTTTGAGATTCTCAACACAAAAATTGTTATGGAACAAAAGTTCCAATTGTCTTTTCTTCCCTATTGTGACAATATATTCAGGAGAAACTTATAAATGCATATAGGGTGGGACTTGATTTTGTGCATGAGGAATTGATTGGATGGTTGTGGTTTGCGAATTGCTGATGTCATGTGAGTGACATGTTGTCCAGCCCTCCTACCAGTAAGCATCATCAGTTATCACAAGTTATTTTGATTAAAGATTATAAGAGGGTTTTAAAGCTACTCTGTGAGATTTTTAACCCCATCTAGCGGTGAAAAGGTATATGATCATCCAGTGAATATTAGTTCCTGTTCCTCTCAATTCCGATTTCGTTTTTAGTCCTACGGTGGCCAATGTAGTCCAAGATTATCATGGCTTCCAGTTCGACTTCGTCCATGAGTGTTAACTCAAACGTAAACGCGAAAGGCGAAGCTTGAATTAACGGGTATGTCCCTCTTTGGCTAATGTATACTTTCAAGATGGAGGGGCAACATGGCGACCGACATTAGAACACATTACCCGTATGTATTTTCAAAGGCATATTATACACTCACGAGAATACTTTATTACTTGAACGAAGTAAATATACATTAATGAGCACATATATTTTTGAAAGAACGAAGTGTAGCTTTAAAAAACAAAACAAAACAAAGATGTGAACAGATAAATCATTTCTAATAATTACGGCAATATTCCATAAAAGACCAAGAATTGTTCGTTTTGATTTTATGGTGACTTTGAGAATTAAGTAGGTTTCTGTTCTTCCATGTGCTCATTAGCTGAAGTGGCTACTGTTATCGAGACTAAAATAAGGCTGTTTGATCAGAAAATAAGAGGATGCAAAGTCTTGAGAGATTCATTTGGAGTCATTTAACTTCAATGAGTCAGCTCAGCAGAATTACATTCGGTATGTTTACATTAGTTATGTTCGTAGAGGAATATTTCTTCCCTTGAGTCAAAGTGAGTGACAGTATATTGGCAGCAGGTGTTCTACTGGAGGCCGTCCAATCACAGAGCACGTCTGTGGAGTGTGCGCCAAAGCTGAAGCCAATCAATTTTAGAGAGAAGTGTTGCAACCATCTCGTCCTCCAGCTGAGTCCTGTTCAAAGCACTATTCAATCATCTTCCAGAATTGAGTATCACCACCAGAATCCACTTTGCAAGAATCCCAAAGCAACCCACATTTCTTTGGTCTTTCTCTAAAAGAACGTTCACGGGAACAGCACAGTCGAGTCATAATACGTTGCATCAGTTTCTTTATTGTAAATGCACTGTGGGTAGAAATTGTATAAAATGTAATATTGCACAATATAAATCAATTGCACTTTCTCAGGGTATAATGATGCATCTGTGTTATGCTACAAGAATATGTTATGCCGGTACTGTGCTCCAATTAAACAAGATATTGTGAAGTGACCAACTTATTATTACTATTATATATATATATATAGTTATCAAAATGCCCTCCAAGTATGAAGGTTCTAGGGCTACCAGCTAAATACAGCCTGTTGAAGACATTTTGACTTGTGAATATCTAATACAAACACTTTTTATAGCTAAATAAATGCTAAGCTTAAGCACAGATTGTATATACATAGCCCTCTATAGTTGTTACCTGCATTGTTATACTTCCCAAATTGTGTGTTGTGATCATTTCATTACAGTGCTTTGGGTGGGCAAACAAGCACAAGATTTTAGTGATTGGCTTACATCATATTCAAATTTAATTGAGGAAATGACACGTCAGCTTGAACAGAGTGGTGTGTATTATAGAGCCTGCATCTATTGTTTTGTGTTTTGAAGTTGTGCACTTTCCACCATATAACATACTTTTCCATCATGGAACATATTATGTTACCAATTTTCAGCCAATTTCTTTTATGAGTCCGACAAATATATATTTAGTGAAAACTAAATATAGCGCCATATTCCCAAGAACATATTCAGGCCTGAAACCCTGCAAATAGACATTTTTCTGTAAATCCTTTTCTCATCTCAGCCATGTTTATAGCCCATTATTTGATACAGAAATCAATATAATTTAAAGACAATTCACAGTTTGTATTTTCAAAAAATAAATTAAAACTTTTTTTTTTTTACATTTTCATTCATACATTTAAGCCTAACCATTTCTGACATACTAATTTTACATCCTCAACGTTTTTCAGGAAAAAGATCTCTACAAAGCCATCGATTATTAGTGCATGCCGTCAACTGATTCTGCTTTTACTCACTACAATTTTTTATTCATTTAGTCATAGAATGATAACCAATTTTCATTTAAAATTGAAGAGGTGAGAGACTTTGAGAAAGAAGGAAAGCAAGAATGAAAAAGACAGAGGTATATCTCAGCTATCAAATCTACTTTATAACTCTCAAAAGTTTGTGCTTTGTTGATTAGATGTCTTTGATTGATGTACGGATCCAAAGTAGCTTTGTGGCAAACTATCATTTAGCTTTGAAGTTTCTTGTCGCCTCCGCAGGTTCACTAAATACAAAAGGATAAATGTAGAAAGGAGAGAGAAAGATCAGAGTTAAACATGGGATACAACACACACACACGCATCTACGGCACAAACATCCCTGCTCTCTTACCTTGCTAACTTGTCTAAACCAAAGAATCATTGTGTAATCCCTTTGGAAAACGTGAGATCAGGTGAATTCAGCAGTTCCCAAACTCAGAGGGTTTATTTGAGGGTCATGATTAGAAAACAACTGTGTTATTCCTTATTAAAATCCAGTCACTCGATGGATCCCATGAGGCATGTTCCAAAACGGTGGCTCGCAGTGAGCATTTCTCCATGTTTATCCATTTAGTGAAGCAGAATTCCACTAGAATTTGCTCGTTGTGGTGGCCTGATGGTTTGAGGTTCCCTGAATCCATATGTTAGAGGAACCAGAGTTTCCATCGCGCGTGCTTCTTGGTCTCAGTCTTGGACTTGCGTTTGGGTGTGGAGGTGAACACCTCGTGTGTGTAAGGCAGAGACGGGTAGCACGGCTCTTCTAAAGGACACAGTCTCTTCATTAAGGGCTGCAGTTTGTCCTCTTGAAGTTTAAAATCTAGTTCCACACTAAAAGAAAAAGGGGAACATTTTAGGTGAGGACAACGTAGAGATCATATAAAATCTGAAGTTTGAATGGGGGTCATAATAGTCAACAATAAATCAAAGTTGACTCCATTTACTTATGTTAAATGAATCTCCTTAGTCATATGGTGCCCATTTCATGATCTCAAAAACGCTATGGCTAGAGCATCAACATTTTTCAAAAACAAAGTTTGTCTTCATAATTTTTCAACAAAATGTAATTACATATGGGGGGAGTACTCTGGGTTTTCAGAGCTCGGCGTTTTATTAATAATAATTGTATTAGATGATTAGTTAATTGCATTTGATAGATTATACTTTCATACTTTTATGTTGCATTTACACTGTTTTGACCAGCAGGCGTCAGCAGCAAAAGGGTTTCAAACACTTCGAAACAGTGAACCATTTTGTGAAGCACCTAGTTGAATTCATTTGAAGCTTTGAAAAGCTTTGTTTCTCCTATCACTATTTCGAGCTTAGTTAACTTTAGTTACCAATAGATTTAAAAAAAAATAACAAAACACTCTGGAACACTGGACAGAACAGAAGCGCGCATGGAGAAAGCAAATCAAACTATACAACAACAAAAACAGACAAAAAACAACTGAGAATGAGGGCCATGTAGACAGGTTAACTGAGGAAAACAAGGCAATAATCAATCAACTAAAGGGGACTAATCAATCAACTAAAGAATCACTATGACACAAGGATTAAAATGAAAAAAAAAATTTATTCTGACAGATTTTTTTTTCCATCACAGACTCGCTGCAATTAACGGAAATCTGTCGTAGTGACGGAGAATTTAAATCCCAGATGACAACAAATGCAAACCTACTTAGAAACCAAGAAAACAGAAAGGAAAAACACATCACAACCAAACTAAAATATTAAACCATCCATGAAACACTAAACTAAAACAAGAATGCACATTACAATAATATTACTTAAAAACATTTATTACAGTCACCTGTAATAATAATTTGTAATAATATTTCACAATATGACTGTTATTGCTGTGTTTCCAACCCAAAAGGTTTTGGAACAGTATTTTAATATCATTAGATCATTTGGTTTCACTTTATTTGGATGGTCCCTTTAACACATTCAGTTGACTATAAGTAAAGTTGAACCTGCATCTTCACTCTCAGAGTGTTAGTAGAGTATTAGCAGACTGGTACACTCTCAGAAAAAAAAAAGGGTACAAAAGCTGTCACTGGGGCTGTACCTTTTCAAAAGGTACACGTTTGTACCCAAAGGCTGCATATTGGTACCTAGTGGTACATATTAGCACCTAAAACGTACATATTGCCACCTAAAATGGACATATTAGCTCATGAAATGGACATATTAACACCTAAAATGTACATATTAGCACCTAAAATGTACATGTTAGCTCCTGAAATGGACATGTTAGCACCTAAAATGTACATGTTAGCACCTAAAATGTACATATTAGCACCTAAAATGGACAAAAGTTTATCTTTTGAAAAGGTACAGCCCAGTGACAGCTTTTGTACCTTTTTTCTGAGAGGTTTAGGGATAAAATAAATTAGAATAAGTCAGATTGTCTGTTGGAGGAGCATCACAATAAAGACTTAGCAGATATTAAGCAAAGCAGACAGCCTACTAATACTCTAATGAGAGCTAGTTGACATGTAGTTGCAAAGTCAACAGAATGTTCAAAAGGGACCATTAAAAATAAAGTGTTACCGATAATTTTAGCCAATCACCAAATAGCTATTTAGCCATTGTTTAACAACGTTTTTAATTATCAATTCCCCATTGATAAAATCTTTTTTTTCCAGAAATTAGCAAAGTACATTGAGGTTCAAATGCCGTTTCATGTCCGAGTTCTGTTTGCCTTAGCAAATGTTATTTCCGGATAGCACCTCATTCCTGACCTCTAACATCATGACTAAGCTGTTTAGCTCAGTCTCAGTATATGTGTCTATGTATAGGTTTGAATGTCCTCGCACAGCCGTCTGACCTCGTCTTCTCTCTAAAGTCATAATCCCATAACAATCAGATGATTCCTGATGATTGCAGTGGCTAAACTCCCAGATTAACCGTCAGAGGCAGCTTTAATCTGATCTAAAAGAAATCATTCGCAAAGCACTGTCTGACTCACAGTGTAAAGAACAGAGACAGACAAACCAATCACTCACAACTGCCCCATTTCTCACTTCTTTTACTTTCCTGCATACAAATGGGCGTATTGGAAATCAATGCTGTTTTACTCATCAATCACATCCATTTATTTAGATTTGTGCAAAAAGAGATCACTCTGACCAAATTGCAGCATGGGAGTCAATTATTTATTATCTATGTCCTAACACTGAGGGTTTATTTGGTTTGGGGTAAGGAATGCCTTCTTATAAGACAATCAAGCACTTAAGTTTTGTATTGGATAACCCAAATAATGCTGCTATGCATTGAATTTTAACGTTTTTAAAAATAAAATAGTGCTTTATCACATATCCACATAAACAAACCCTAAAAATCAAGGACTTTTTCCCAAAACATGTGTACTGTGACAACAGAGCGTGCAAAAAAAAAACCAGACTAAACCCCACAGAGACAAAGCAATCTGCATATCATTTTCAAGTCTGCCCTGGATTTTCACAAATGATCAGAAAAACTTCTCTGGCATGATATATTTAGAAGCCGCAGTGTTTGGTTTGTCTATTTACAGAAGTTGTGAAAGCGCAGCAATTCTTGGCAGACCCTCTGAGGGTGAAAGAGGAACAATAGTGTGTTCCTGCTCCAGGTTGAGCTACACTCAGCAATTAATCACAGGACAAACCTGAGCAGTTACCTTGTGTACACTACCGACAGGGGGGGAATGAAACATATGGGTGCTGGTGAACAATGCACAGTAAACAACAGAAGAATCTGCAAAACTGGCTCAAAATAAAGAGGATGTCTTATGACGGTAAAAGAGAAGCAAAACTCGAGAGCGATGTAAATTTGAGAACCTGTACAGTATATTTGTAAGTGCACGCTAAAATGTATACACTCCCCTACAATATTTATTGTACAAGTTCCTGTGAAAACCTTTGAAATCCAAATCTCAGTGTAACAAGGTTCTTACTCAATATATATATAGGAAGAAGGAGACAGGGTCGGCGAGACTGGAACTCGAACTGTATTTTATTCTTTCAAACACAAAACAAAGGGGCGCACACAGCGCGTTCACCGTAGCCTCTGCTACAGCAACTCTCATTCATAAACTCTTTCCACGTCGTTGATGACAGCTTCTCAGTCCACTGGGTATGAGTCCACAGGGAGTTTCAGATCCCACTCCTTCCCGCTGATTCACAGCTTTCGACTGACAGCCCGAGTTCCAGCCTGTTTCTCTCTCCCCGTCCTTCTCACACTGTGCCCGTTTTAACCGTCTCCCCACACCAATCACTGCAATCAGACACAGGTGTTTATCATTTGTCCTTGATCCACTTACTCACCGCACAGCCCCTTGACTCATCTCTCCGTGCAGACAGTGCGCAAACCACGCCCCCCTCACCACATACCCCCACCGCCCGACTCAGGCCAGGGAACCGTCCGGCCTGCAGCCCCCCCCCCCCCTTCCTGGAGAGGAAGTCGGCCACCGCCATCTGCGCCCCCGGCCTGTGGACCACCTGAAACTTAAATGGTTGTAAGGCCAGATACCAACGGGTGATCCGCGCGTTGGTATCTTTCATGCGGTGAAGCCACTGCAAGGGAGCGTGGTCCGAACACAGGGTGAACTCCCGTCCCAGGAGGTAGTAGCGGAGGGTGAGGACAGCCCAGCGGATGGCCAAACACTCCTTCTCAATGGTGCTGTACATCGTCTCTCTCTTAGAGAGCTTCCGACTGATGTACAGCACCGGCCGTTCCTCCCCCTCCACCTCCTGGGACAGGACCGCGCCCAAGCCCCTATCCGACGCATCTGTCTGCAGGACAAAGGGGAGAGAAAAGTCAGGAGCATGTAACAGCGGTCCTCCGCACAGAGCAGCCTTTATCTGGGTAAAAGCCCGCTGGCACTGCTCCGTCCACTGGACCGTATCTGGCGCGCCCTTTTTAGTCAGATCAGTCAGCGGGCTAGCGAGGTCCGAATAATTGGGAACGAAACGTCTATAATATCCCGCTAGCCCCAGGAACTGTCTAACCTCCTTTTTGGTCTTAGGACTCGGACAGGTTGCAACCGCTGCCGTCTTATCAATTTGGGGACGCACCTGTCCGTGACCCAAGTGGAAGCCCAGATACCTTACTTCTACCCGCCCAATTGCACACTTCCTCGGGTTGGCCGTGAGCCCAGCTCTTCTCAGCGTCTTCAGGACAGCACGCAAATACTGCATATGCCGCTGCCAATCATTGCTATAGATGATAATATCATCCAGATACGCCGCGGCATATGCAGCATGCGGCCGGAGAATTCTGTCCATCAGCCGCTGAAAAGTTGCCGGTGCCCCGAACAAACCGAACGGAAGCGTGACGAATTGGTGTAACCCAAACGGCGTGGTAAAAGCTGTCTTTTCTTTGGACATTGGAGATAAGGGGATCTGCCAATATCCCTTTGTTAAGTCCAGCGTCGAATAAAAGCGAGCAGAACCAAGCCGATCAAGCAATTCGTCAATCCTCGGCATTGGATAAGCATCAAATTTGGACACCGCGTTCACCTTTCTATAGTCCACACAGAACCGAATCGAGCCGTCAGGTTTTGGAACTAAAACTATCGGGCTGGCCCAGTCACTGTTGGACTCTTCTATTACCCCAGGTCCAGCATTGTCTCTAATTCGGCCTGAACCGTTTTCTTCTTGTGTTCAGGCAATCGATACGGACGGCAACGTACAACGACCCCGGATCGGTCTCAACGTGGTGCTGAATGAGATTCGTTCGACCAGGCAGAGGCGAGAACACATCAGAAAACTCCGCTTGTAATCTTTTAATATCAGTGAGCTGTGAGGGCGAGAGATGGTCACCAGATGGAGCCAGAGAGCAGGGTTGCG